CAGCTGTATAAAACCACATTTCCATCTCTGTATTCCCGCCGCCAGGGGGTGGTGGTGAAAAGATTCGTCGCGAAGCGCTCGATAAGGGGCGGCCACGGCGCCGGCGCCTGGGAAGGGGATTGCTGGAAAGAAAGCGTGGGGGAGGCGTTAAGACTGGAAGTCGGGAGGATTTTGCCGCTTAGGGAGCGTTGGCTTGGTGTCCCAGGGGGGAGGTTAGATAGCTTCAGATCGGATGTTAGGAAGGCGCTCCCGATCATGGGGTTCAGCGTCGAGAGGGATTGCTTCTCGAATGACTCCGTTGGTGGAATCTCCACCAGCGATAACGGCTGCCGCTTCAGAATCGGCTGAAAGTAGCGTTCATTCCTGTACACGGCAAGTTGGTTCGGCATGGGGCCGAAGCGCTTTAGCAGCTCTACCAAGTGGCATGCCTTACGCTCCATCTGTGAGCGAAATACCGGCGCCCACTCCTTGGAAATCAAATCCGCACCGTCGAAGCTGGTGCACAGGCCTAACGTCAGGGAGCCATCCGCTTCCTCAAGGCCAAGGATGGAGAACATCGCGGTGGGGCCGCGGCAATGGGGTGGCTGGCAGGGTGGGGTGGGGTGCAGCTCCGGCGGGCATGGAATCGCGCACTGAAGAAAGGCCATCAGAGGCTTTGTTTCTTTGGAAATCACACCACTCGCTTTGATGGTTGAGTTGTTGATATCAATGGTGCTAGTGCTAGCGCTAGAGAAGGAAGGTGGACAGGATCGGCGCAACCGCAACGCTTCTTGCTGTTCAGGGTCCAGTAAGATAAAGGGGCTGAAGTACTGCAGCAGCTCCAGAGGCGGTACCTCATGGATGGCCGAACGGTAGCGAGAGAGGAGGATCATCAGGTTATAACCTAAGCGCTTCACCACGCAATTTTGCCTCAACATCGGCGTATGCTGATAAGCAAAGGTGTCCTTGGTGTCGAGGAAGTCAGGGTCGTCGAGCAGCACCGTCTGTAGGGTTCCCACGTTTGCGTTTGGAATTTTCACAGTGAAGCGCACGGCAATGACATGCTTCTTGTAGCCCTCGCCTCTTCCGACACCCAGCTGGCGCTCTTCGCAAAGTAGACCTCCCCGTTCGAACTGTACAGACCATCCTGACTTCTGGCTCCACTCACGTATTGGTTTCAGCAAAACCATCGAGAATGGAGCCCCGAAGTTGGTGAGCTGTTCGACAATTGCAATTTCTTTGTCGGTTAGGGCGGGCAGTGAGTATACATGTGTTTGGTCTCTACTTCTGAGGCTAGTCTCCGCAAGTGGTCCGGCTTTTTTTTTTTAGAAGAGTACTCCTTTTCCGGTGGCGTCCCCAATGGTGAAAACTTAGCGATCGTTCGTAAGGGCGTTGAAGTTGAATCGGATGCCTTGTTCGCGCAAGATGCCCCAACTGAGCTGCTCTCCTGACTCACAATCCGTTTTTCTACTTTCATAAGACTCGGCCGATGCACGTTAATTTGCGCTTGTTTGTAAACCTTCTTCAACGTCGTGATAAATACCGAATGGAGTTGTCCAAGACCGGTGATCAGCATCGAAACGCCGACCACTGGTACGATTAACATATCAAGTGTGAGGCAGATGGAGTAATAAGGGAAAGTTATTGTAATTATAAGTTGCACCAGCACGTAAACCATGCAAATTTTTCCTAAATAACTATGCAGAAGTTTCTGAATGGGTACTATATTTTGTGGGGGAAGTCCGATCCGTTGGTTTATTTCCTGCAGATATGGCAACTTGACACCCCCTTGAGCGACTTTGAGGCTGGAGGAGGAATCGAGTTTCGTTTTTTGCGTACCTTGACTCGGTGAGATTCTTGGCGTGGATAAAAATTTGTCTAAGAGTCGCATCCTGTTGGCGTCAGAGGCGATACAGGCCTTAACCCAACTCTGCGCTTCATCCATGGCCTTTTGATCCCCTGGTGTCAAGGTACACTCAGACGACAACGACGCGTAGGAAGATTCTTCAGAAATTGCTTTTGGGACCTCACGAAGCCGACACCGCTGTTCACAAGTCAATGGGATGGGTAAGACGAATAACAGTAAACCCGTCGCGACGCTATTGAACAAGTAGATGCCTCTATAAAGGGCTCCGCCAAGCATCAACACAAGGAGAACAAGTGCTGTGCGCTGCGGGTCTCTCCAACTCCATAGATCCCATAACCGCAGAATTACCACATCGTAGACGTCGTAAAATGGCGAGTAAGCTTTGTCAATTTCGTTCGGTACAGTATCACTACATCGGATGCCTTCAGACATGAGGTCATTCATCGGTAGTTTTGATAAATTCGCCTTATGAGAAACCTCACCGCTGGTGACAGTTGAAACTACCATATCAGTGCCCATGCCTAGTTTCGGCAAAACAAAGGTGTTGGTCAATGGAGGTAATGGCCCTTTCGCTAGTTTGCCAGGATGAAGGTATTTCTTTTCTATACCCCGGTGTGCGACCTTTGCATTTTTGTGAAAGAGTTGTTCTTGAACATCGGCGTACAAGGGCTTCCACAGCTTTTCAACAAACCACTCAAGCCGTCGGGCTTGATGATCCCCGTTGCCTTTACCGTCGAACGGAACTGCGTTTGTGCGCCTCTCCGCAAGAAGACCTGCCCTGAGTATAAGCGCCCAGTCATTTAAAATATCTTCCACATTGTCCGCCACCGCCACTACCGCAGGGACAAAGCCAAGTACGGCACCATTCGTGTCTTTTTCAGGGATCGCTGCGATCTTATTGTATTTATTGGGCAACTGATCTATCTTCCCATTATGATTTGACAAATCTAACGACCCATTGATGTATATAATTCTAAACTGCATCATGTCTTTATCGGAAAACATGCACTGTTGAGTAGGATTTGGGTCCTTACTCGCCTTTTTATCAGCATTTTCTTGGACACAGAAATGATTCAAACCACTAGCAATTGTGTTCCATTGATCATGTATTAGAGAGATAAAAGGGGTGTGTAAAATAGTCATGTCAACGTGCTTGTCACTAAAAACAAAAATAGATAAATAAGAAAATAAGTAGTTTAATTATCCCTTATATCACTTATCTTGCCAACCGATGAAGAGGTCCGAAACTAATCAATGCCAAGTCTCTTGATTTGAGTGATTTAACGCCGCTTATGAACCCATATGCTGTATTCCTAATGCTCTTTATGCTACCAAGAAGGATAAAAAGGATGTGGAGAACCAAGTAAGTATAGCACTCAATATTTGTCGAATCCTCATTTCAAAGATATTCTTATTGGTGTTTATAGAATTGTCGTTAATGTTTCCACAAGAATATGGAAACATTAATTTATAATTGATAGAATCGAAGTAAGACAAAATGCAACACACGCACACGTCTTCCCTAAAACAGTTGTAGAGTTGATAATGCGTAGGCCGCGCTAGTTGTAGTGTTGCGTGAAATCTACATCAAACACTCAAGCAAAAATAAAAAATTATAAATCATAGGCTCATGATAACTTCTTTCTGAACTCTTTTCCTTTACATTTTCTAATAATATATATATATATAATATTTATATTAGGTGCCTATAAGCAGAGTGTTAAAGTCACAAGTTAGGTTCCTCAATCAGCCTCGTTCTTTCCATTGGATATGCTTTACCTGTACACAGTTAAATGATTGATATAGTTTTCTCATGGTCTTGCATTTCCAATGTAATCATTTAAAAGAGTTACACTGTAAATAGACAAATCTATAAATTACTGTATGTACATAAAATCAAAGGCCCATCTAAACTAATTAAGGCCCTAGCCATTAGCTATCCTGCCTTTTCAAGAGCATGGATAGATTTTCAATTTTCCTGCTCAGTGGTCGTAGCACCGAGCGGCGCAAAAAGATTTCCAGTCGTTGGTGTAATGGAGTAAGGGGGTTAGGTTGCTTGAAGTGGCACAACACACAGAGAAACTGATTAAACCCGTCTAATGTTAAAACTTGCACTTCATGACGTTTGAACTTACTGTTGCTGATGGCAAAACTGCCGACAGAATTAGGTGAAAGTAAATCTGTAGCCCCTGCATGGGGGTTCGATGACGCACCGATTCGGCTCGACGGAATGCGAAATTCTAATTTGTTGTTGCCCTTTTCACGAGGTTTGCCGTTGATATCTCTACAGACCGCAATCGCGTTTTCCTCAACCGATTTACACACCGTGCTGCACTTCTGAAAAATTTCAGATATCAAATATTGCGTTGTCTCCGTGCTCGTGAGCATGGCGTCCCTCATAAGCTGCAGGAGGCTCTCCTCCTGCATGCAGATCACACCGTATACCACCTTGCTGTAGTTTTGGTAAACAAGCAGCAGGGCTGAGCTGTACTTGGTGAGAACTTCTTGAGTTTGGATACCCATTTGGATGCGCTTCAGGAATGCGTGAGGAGTCTTCTCAAAACGAACACTGTCCTCTCGCAATGCATAGTCGTTCAAAAATTGCGTAATGGCATCGCCTAACCAAACTATCGGAGGCGAATATGAAGCTTCTTCCCCATTCACATCATCATCTCTTCTTTTGCTTTTATCAGCGGCTAAACTAGCAGGGGCGATTTCGGGCGGCAAGGGATCGTAGAGCGCATCCACAAGGAGTATCAAGGCTGTTACAAACCCCGGGAACATTAAATATTCTGAGAGTAGGGTAGAGTGGAGATGCGAAGATACCATTTTGTTGCTCAGATCGGTCCGCTTCTTGGAGTCATCAACTCCTATGCTTGAGGCGCAGTCAAAAATGTTGAGTTCACAACTCTGCATGAAATTTTTTTCATTATTGTTGTCTAAACGCTCCTTGCCTAACACATCAGAGAACTTGTCGAAACTTGCCGAAAGTTCACTTATCGAACAAAATGCTCCTGCTTGGTGCTGATCATGTTTCTTACTTGAAGTGAATGAACTGAGGTTCCTATCGGCATGAAAGTGGCCGGCTTTGTAAAAAATCTCTGAAACAAAATTGAGTTCCAGTGACTTAACTAATTTTGTGTGTCTATTGGAATTCCTGGAGTCCTCCGATTTTCCTCGTTCCTGCTGCAGCTTTACGATTCCGAGGTCAACACAAAAGGAGCGCCACTCCGACAAATCCATCGCTGGAAGAGCCATCTCCGGCTGTAAGGATGCATTCCATAGAAAGAGGTTAATAATGTCGTTTGTGGCGACGCCCAACACTTCCTTAAGCTTCTGTTTTTCGCATGCCACATACGTACTCTTCCAGTCACTTGAAGAAGGCATCAAGCCCTTAATAGGAGACACGCATTTAGAATCAACCCCTGGGGAGCAAATGGCCATCACACAGTGCTTTCGTTTCGCATAAAGACGTTCAAGCCCATTAGAGTTCAACGATGGCAAAAGTGGCACCCCCTCTTGCTCCATCCCAACTCGCAGCGCCACTGGGGACGCTCGCGGCCCCGTGAACACGCCACGGCTCACCCTTGAATAGTTCGTGACCGGAATTAGACAGGAGAATAGGATATGCCAACGGTGAATCTGTAAGGAGCGATTCAACGCCATCCCTAGCTCACCCAGAAGATTCGCAAGCTGTGGCGACTCAAAGGCCTCGCTCGGCCAGAAGTTCCCACGAAGCAGAAACGGGTGAGCGGAGGACCCGAAAATAGGCACACAGCGTTCCTTGAAAAGTTGCCATGGGCTTTTATCTTCGTCTATCAGGCGATCCAGAATCTCATCTTCGATCCATAGCGCATGCTGAGATCGTTGACGTTCCGGTAGTCTGCTGTCCTGCTCCAGAGAATTCTTTTCCTCCGTCTCGCTTCTCGGAGATTGTAAATGACGGGATGTGGTGGAGCCGGTGTAGCTTCTGGGATTCAGCAAGTATAAAATCGCTTCCCTTTCAACTATAGCGCTTTGCCGAGCCTTGTGGTTAAACGGATGGGAAAAGCGCACGTACAGGATAGCGATGAGGGTGACGGTTGAACTACGCTCGCCCATCACCAAGGCATGTGGATCCACCACCTCATGCAAATCTATCGTGGGAACACTGGGGGGAAGCGAAAACCCTGTTGTAGAACTCACGATGTTCAGCACTTGCTGTCGCTTCAGCGCTACTACGTCACTCATGACAGAGGTCGAATCATTGAGAATCTGAGAAGCGAAGTGCAGTAACATCGCCATTCGATCCGTAGGCACCATATTTAACAAATCCCCAAAGCACTCAGAGTATACTGGGAAAGGGGCATCAAGCTGGACGTTGCGTTGCTCCAGGAGCTGCTGTCGGCGGCGCACAAATACCTCTGCATAGAGCGAATCGATGTATTTACTTTTATCGTCCTTCCCATCTTTGGTATCCATAACCGCCGAAGCCCCCGCGTGGATTGCCTCATTGGAGCGTTCATCGTTGTTTGCATTGCGCTGCAGGTAGCGTGGTAGAGCTAGATAGAACAAGAGTCGACTAAGTAAAACTCCGCTTCGCATCTCTTCAGAGAAGCTTCGGAAGCGCAAGGAAAGGGCGCCACCTTTAAGATCATCTAACGACTCAAGGTCGTCAAGGCAGCTATTTGCCCAGTCCTGAAGAATCGTCATGGCGCTCGGCAGCTCCCTCGTGGAGGATAGCACAATAGGAGCGAGCTCGCCAAACAAGCGCTCCTCTTCCGCCTCTCGAGTTGCCTGTGCGTTGATGAGGTTAGATCTCCCTTCACTAGAGTGAAACGAGGAATTGTCATCTTCCTTTTGAGAATCACTTTCTCTTTGGAATTTGTCACCTAAGCTCTTATCAGGCTCTTCGCTGTGCGCTTTAGAAGCCTTTTCCTTGCCCTCAGGATCTCTAACTTCATCGGTCTTCTTTAGATCGGAGTGCACATGTCGTTCATCAGCAGCCTCTGAAACTTGTGTAGAGGCTCCGCATAGCTCACCGGCAATTCTCATGGTAACACGTTGCCATGGGCGGGTACGATGCGCTCGGAGGCGTGACCTGAGCTGAATAATTTGCTTATCCTTATCCATGAGTTGAAATTGCTTCTTCTGGAAAAGGTTGCAGTAGTACAGTTTCTCTTCAACCGTGCGTACGAGATCGCTCTCAAGCGTCCGGTTACGCTCCCGTAAACCATTTCGCTCGCGTTCCAACATCTGAATTCGCCTGCGCTGGATTGCGATTTCGCTACGTAGGTGCATGCACATTTCGCTTTCCTTTTGTTGCATATCCATTATCATTTCAATGATGGAGTCTTGGGGCAAAGCATCCTGCTCACAGCTTGGGCTTATGAACAAAGAGGGTTGCACTTCGGAGTGTATTGGCGAGGCTGTGGCGGTGGATACTGCGGATGAGTTATCGAAGGCTTCCCTGGATGCGGGCGTATCACGCTCCTCGCTTTTGCCTTTGGTTGAATTTTCACTTGCCACAGGTTTATCAAGAAGGCTCTCGACGGTTGTTTGGTAAGCAGAGGACGAAGCGTTACTTTCTTGATCCACTGGTTTCCGTTGAGCTTTGGTCTTTAGGTGCTCAATCCTGCGCGGAGCTCTGGATGTTACCTCCTCAATCGAGGGGGTAGCAGCATTTGATGACGTTTTCTTCGCCTGCTGAGTTTTTTCAGTCAACTTGATCGCAAGGAATCTTGAACGAGTGAGAGCCGTATTACTCTCACTCTTGATACTGTTCTTTTCTTTTTGGAGGCTCACCGTTGACGGTGTCATAATAGAGCTACCCTGAAAAAATTTGGATTCCACTGAAGCACACGAGCTGTTCACGATGGAGTTGTATTTCTTCCTGATACGGTCGAAGTACGATTCCTGTTTTCCTTGAATAGTTGTCAACCTCCATGCACCCATAACTTTTTGCAAGCGCAGCCTCCACCTAACCCGCAGCAGCATTTTGCTCACCAGTTCGAGCGAGGTGAGGCGCCGGCGATAACCTATTATCCACCGCCGCCACGAACGCAGAGCCCAATGCTGCAGCACCGATTCCATGTACTGTGTGTCCTTACGACACTGCTGTGTTGCGTCCTCAGACAGCAAACGCATGCTCGAGCGTAGTGGGATCTCTGAAAGCCTCACAATTTGTTCGCTTAATGTCCCATTCGACGGTAACACGGAGGAATACAAGGCAAAGTTAACGTAAACGTGCGGTAACAGATAGTTATGGAAGAGTTCCATTGCGAACCCTACGTCAGGTACGCTCGCCGCGCACTGCCGCAACGCTTGCCATATCAGTGCTACACTTGTTGCCGTCTCAAGGACCATCAGAGGTTTGATAATTATCTCCTCTGGTAGTGATACTACGGCAGGAGTGATGGTGCCATTCAAAACAGCGTTCTTCACAAAGTGCTGTTCCATTTGGAGCAGTTGGTTAATGTATTCCTTCTCATTGTGAAGAAGGTACAACTTTTCTTGCGTCATTAAATTCCCTTCGTCTTTCCTACAAGGAAGATTGCAAGCTCCTTTTCCCAAACTGTTGAAACTAGTGGCCCCGTCTGAGTCGTCCTTCTCTTCCGCATTTTTTCCTACCGTGTAGGTGTAAAAACGCATTGGGTAAGTTTGTAACAGCGTCACCGTTTTCTCATGGAGCTGGGTGAGTAAGCTTAGAAAAAAACTTTCCATTTTATGCGCCGGAATTAGATTACTATGCTGCCCTGAGTTTTGTGATATATCATCCTGAGATATCTTCAGGCTGTGCATGCCCGGAGCGCCACTACCGCTGCTATATACAATACCCGTCAGCGAGGTCATATCATCTGCCGCCAGATTCAATAGCTTAGGATTGATAAATACGTTTCTTGTGAAGACAACTGTCCCCTGTTTCTCGAGATCGCACTGTTTCCAGGTGTACTCCTCTTGAGAAACAATGCTATTCGCCAGATTTCCCAGATTGTCGTAAATAAAAGATTCTAGCTCATTGCGAAAAGTGAACAACTTACGCATTGCCAGGCGTTTATTCCAGAGGTCGTAGAGTCGTTCATATGCGGGTGAATCAGAACTCACTGAAGGGCCCTGGCCGCTACCGTCAGTACGCAACCGTGGCAATGTCCCAGATGCTAAAGAGTATTGTGTCAGCGCGTCGGATTTAGAAAATATGTTGCTACCGTCCATGTTCACATCAACTTCGGCCCCCATAGCCGGTGAAAAGAGAGAATACAGGTCTGTTTTCGGCTTGCAGATGTGAAGGCCCACGGCCACTTGGGGGTACTTGTCAGCGGACTGCAACTTGGGGTACGAAGGGCACTTCTCAGGTGACGTGACAACCTCGGCACCCACTACTGTTGCTGTTTCTGCGTTTTTACCAACAGACCCTACAAACATGGGCAGAATCTCGGGTTGAACCAGATTCGGATTCCGAAGAAGGTTGATTGCGACCACCTTAGAACTTTCGCTTTCATTCCGACTTCTATCCCTAGTCAAGGCACACCTCTCTCCACCTTTGGTTGCTTCATGACGTTTATTTCCACTAGATTGCACTTTCCATGGGATGGGGGCCAGAGTATTGAATCTTGATGCCGCCGTGCCATGAGACGGTCGCTGTTTCTCCACATGTTGAGGAGACGTCTTTGCTTTCGAACAAACAGATGAGGATTTGGATTTGTCAAGCACGGTGTAAAGTTTAGACAATCTAAAGGAATAATCAGTGAAAACGCTGCCGTTGCGTGCGGGTAAGGATGATCCGCTCTCCACATTCGCACTAGGCCTTTGACTCATTGAGAATTTTGAAAAAACTCTTGCTTGAAGCTGGTTGTGAGTGTTTCAGACCTTTTACTTTGAAAAGCAATCAGCCACGCAAGGCCACAAATAAACCAGATTAATAACAAAACAACAACAGAAAAAAAAGTAAAATTCAGAATGGTCATCTCTCCTTTTCTTCCACCTCACTCTCTTTGTGTAGATTTTTATAGTGGAAATACTTTGGAAAACGTAGCAGGAAAATCTCTCCCATTTTAGTTTCATTCCCCTTGACGGTTGTCAGTTTACCACCCCCATTAACTCAACTCCACTGTCACATAGGTTATGACAGGGAACAGACGAAACACACGATGCAGTAGAATATACAGCACCACAGCCCCAAACACAACGACGGATAGCTTGAACAGCAGATCATCCCTTGATTGGACCCTGAGAAGGCGGCGGAGGAGCTGCTGGGCGTGGGCCATCCCGGCGTGGACCTCCCTCAGCGAGTGCTGTACGAGGCTCAGCGTCTCGGCAGTTGTCGTGAGCTGCCGCACCGTGGCCTCGACCTTATCCAGCTCGCTAAGAAGCATCGCGCGGGTGTGGAAGAGGGCGTGGCGGGCCTCTGCGGCGTCGTCCAACGGGGGCGTCGCCCCTTCCAGAAGGCCCAGAGAGCGGGATAGCCCACGGCGCAGCGCCTGACAGTGGTGGTCAAGCTGTAAAAGCCACGCGGACGGGATCGCGATGTGGGGCTTGAGCCCCGACTGGGAGGTGGGGGCCGCTGTTGGGGGTTGCGGCTGCCCCGGCCTCAAACGCAGGGTCTCGCTAAAGCGTAGTAATCGTCGGACCTCCGCGACGGCCAAGACGAACGCGCCATGGGTCGGTGCGTTCGGTTCCGTCGTGAAGGCATTTTGAGCCCGAAGGAGTTCTTGAAGGGCCTGTTGAGTGCGGTTGACAAACGCATGAATAATCTCTTCCGAGATATACGGCGGCATCCAACGAAATAAGAGTAATAGTGTTGATCTAGGGCAACTCAAGCAACTGAAAAATATTCATACCTTTTCAGCCTATAGCACCTACATCAATAGGGGGAAAAAACATGAAGAGGGGGGTAGATAATGGATTTGTATAGGTTTCATTGTAATATTGACAAGTCTTTAAATATAAAGCATGCGTTCAAATAGAATAAGCTACTAAACCACTGGTTTACTTTAATACTTTGTTCCTTTACGGAAAAATTGGTCGAAGTTTCTATAATTCTAGAAAATTAACTACCACTACGCTTTTCATTGGGGTTTATTCCCTGAGAAAAGCGAACAAATGGCAGAGAATGGATTCTCTATAAATTAACAATAGTTTTTGACATTCTAAGGAACGTACTTTATCGAGTGCATGTATTGAAAGACCTTGTGATCTTTCTCTGTATATTTGGATCCTTCACTGATGTCCTTCCAGACATCTCTGGCCCTTTCTGGTACTCTCCCGACACTGTTATTTTGATTGCTTGTACTTATCTCAAACGGTTGAAGTTACACCCTGATATTGATGGGATCACTCAACAAGAATGTTTCACACATTTCATCCTTTTTGAGCTGAGAGCTTCCATTTACATTGAATTCTATTTCATTTGTTTCAAATGTTACCGCACTCAGAAAAGATGACATCAAGGTCGAGTTGTTCAGATTATTCGAACAGTACGCTGGTGAAGAAAATGATGACAAACCGTTCGTTTTGCCTTCACTGAAGCTTCTTTTTGGCACCCGATTAGATTTCAATCGTTCAGTTGTATCGGATCGTAGAGTATTGGTAGCGGGATTCGCCACAGATCGGTGAAGGCCACCGGAGGGTGATAACCGCGATTTTTCCTTGCCTCTAAATTTATGTGAGGAAAAGATGTGTAGCAAGTAATCCATTGGATCATCATAAATGACTTCCAGTTCAGAGTGTTCTTTGGCTTGTGAATTATCCGCAAGATGACATCTTCGAGGTTGATAAATAATTTTGGTATCCATGGTCTGGGAGTCCTTGTTGATATGAAAAGGAGGAGTAGATTTTTTTTCATTGCACAAACTCAGGTCATCCTCGCAATTGGCGATAGGAGGATGTTTTTTATTGCTTGGCGTGTCGTATCTTAGCTTTCGTGAAGTCGGATCCAAGGATTCGCTGGAGAGAAAATGCTTTCCCTCAAGAGAAGAGCGACAACGATTGGGTTCTTCCCATGTTTGCGCGTTGTTTAGGCTTGAAATGGAGGATACTTCAGGAGTCAAGATACCCTCTGTGGCGCTACCCCCACCCCATGTCTTCTTTGCGTTTGCATTGCTCAACACATCTGAAATGGGCCGGAGGGTGGAGGCGGATACATCGTGCAAATCTGAGGTTAGTTGTGAATATTCATTTTTACTTCGGCTCCGCGGGTGTTGTTCACAGGTTTCGTCCTCATTCATCGTGGGGCGAGAAGTGGACCCGTTTCCGGAAACGAAGACCACCTCGTGGTCCTTTTTGAGCGACTTTGCTGTATTCGATTCTGTGCACATACGCTGGGAGGAGACTGAATCACGAGATCGACCCGAATGATTCATTTCATGGTGTCCATCATGGTCGACTTCTTGTTCTTTAGCGATACTTTTGCGCTCTTTGTGAGAATGACGAAGACGGTAAGCCAATTCATCCTCAACCGCATTGCGGATGGAGCGACGGACGTGCGTTTGAGTTACCCGCCGCACCCGGTGCGCCATGCTCGACGACAAACGTTTGTCCATTTCCTTGAGGTAGTGCTCCGCGGCCTCCCGCACCATTTTATCAACCACCTCAAACCAAGCGTCACGCTCACGGACTGTTTCAGGTTCAAAAGCCACAGGTTGCTCCTGTGGTGAGGTTGAGTTGGTGTTTTTAGTAAGCTCACTTTTTAGATGCTGTATTTCTTCTTGCTGTTCAACAGCCTGACGTGCTAATTCTTTCAAGACCGTTTGATAATGCTCAAGAAGCTCATCCCCGCCTAGCGTTTCCAAGTCTGATGATTTAATATCTACCGAGGAAGAAAGATTACTTTGAGAATGTGTGCATGGGTGCATCTGAGCTGTAGGAGACGCATTTTGATAAAGAGGCGCTCGGTTCATAAAAATGTCGATATAAAAGAGGTTTTGGTTATTAATTATTTATTTTGCAAATAATGAACAAAATTTATTCCAGGAATGCATAAATAATAATAATAAAAGGAGAATGCAATAATAATCTCTATTTAAAAGGAAAAGGCCTAACACAAGTGAATCTGTGCAGTCCACTTCCTAGGGTATGGTCTATGCTGTAAGTTGTTGATTGAGAGTCACTAAATCTATAGTAGTCGTTAAGTAAAAAATCTTACTTTTCAAATCTAGTCCTCTTTCTGTGCAGCTAGAGTTAAGAATATGAAGAATGGAGAAAGTAGATTTTGTTTACACGAAAAACAATTTATCTGAAGCTATGAATTTCATGAAAAAAAAAGCGTGATTCCAGGCACAAGAACCCGTCTCCACTTTTTCTCATTTATTCACCAAATGAATTTGAGAAATAGTGAGCCATAAGTCACAAAAAGAAGCGATAATACTAAATAGTCTCTTAAGGACCCTCTTTTTTATCTCCTTTTCAAATTCATCTCGATCGTTTAATCCTAATGGACCGCAAAAATGTGTGTCGAGGTCCCAAACTTGTAGACCTGTTGCCTCTTGTACCCCATATCCTTCATGAAACCACCGTATCGCCAAAAACCCCCTTGCCAATACGTGAAATTAAAAATCGGATTCACGCGGCCGCACAGGTAGTTGAGCATCGTTTGTGGACCGCAGACCAGGATGTTTGCGCGATACGTTTCGAGAGTGCTGCCTGGGACGTCCGTCCCACTCATAAGGTCGGGGCGAACAAAACTCCGCGGCGGTGGAAGGGCAGCTTGGAGGGTGGAAGGATCGAGGTTGCCGACAAACAAGTTCTCATGCAGGACCAGCCCCGGGTGGGACTTCGTTCCCATCGTGAGCACGTTGTAGCGAACGACAATGCGATCCGGGTTTTGGGCCTGAAAAGGGTCAAAATAGGTCGTTTTGAAAGGGATATTCCCCGCCGTACAATGGCAATAAAGGAGGGACAGTTTAGTTCGGTCCTCAGGGTTCCGGGCAATGATGTTCATCAGCTGCAGCGCTACGGAGGCCCCACTGGTGCTGCAGATCAGACCGATCTCGGGGGTTTTGTTGGGTTTGTAGTGAAATTCCTTCATCCAGCGGCCGAGGTAGACAACGTCGCCTCGCTCCAGGTACCGCAGCCGACCTGACATTCGCCCTGGATCGCAATCTTTGATTGCGAATTCTATAAAGCCTCGCTCGCGGGGGTGGCTGATCGGGGTATACCACCGTGTGAGAGAGGAAAGTTGCCGCACACATCCACTATACATGCGCACCGAGCTCACCGGCTCGTACCCGGCGTAATCGTACGAATGAGGTAGTGCGAAGCGGTAGACAATCATCTGACTCCCCTCCTCTCGATTTTTTTCGAGGAGTGTGATGGGGACGCGTGGGCAGAAAAGATACCAGCGCCGCGCAAGCGGTTTCCTTTCCTGCCAAGGTACTAGAAAAACGTGGTAGATGCCGTAGCTTGTTCCTATTACAACCCCAGCCACAGCAAGTACACGCGCGACGTAGCCCTTGTTGATGTCGTTAAGAGTACGTAAGACCACACCGGGAATATCCTGTAATATGTAGGACCATCGCTTAGGGGGATTCTGGTAACTAGTGTTAGTTTTGGCATTCCCTGAGCTAGTTTTTTGACGCTTCTGCTTGTGGTAAGCGCTATCACTGAAGTTGGTTTCGTGTTGTTGATTATGATGCGATCCGAAATCGCCGCCGGCACTCCTGGGATCCGGAAGCCTTCCCGGGGGAGGTGCCATTTTTTGTGTGTGTTAGCACTATTGAGTATCCAACAGAAAGTCTTCCTCCCCCCCTCGTATGAGACCTGATATTACAGTTGCCCTGAAGAGTAGGGAAGACCATAAGGATTCGAAAGAAAGGAGTTTGGAGGAAAACAAAGAAGTCCCCCTTTCTCGGGGCGTTCGGATTTGAGGGACTGATACACCCTTTTTATACATATCCCTGTCATGAACAAATCCCTCTTAACCTTTTACGATTAAGCTTTTGTTGAATACTCTTAATAGCAACAATTCTTCTACATAAGTAGTTAAAGGGAAACAAATTCACCTTCTGAATTTTATTAAATTGCTACTATTAATAAAGAAAATAATATCGTTATTTTTATTTGGGTCTGCCAGAGTACTATTCCGTCCGCATTGTTGTCGTAATTAGCGACAAACATGGACCCTTCCCTAAATATCACCAGATACATCGGTAGAGAAACATAGCTATGTACTTACTACTAAGGGGTTTTGTTTTACTTGATAAAGCTCTGTTTAAATCTTTACTTCATTTGACTCATAGTTGTCCTTTGTTTGAAAGTGTCACTAGGAGATCCTTGGCCTCGCTCGGCGTCACGATCCTGACGCTTCGAGCTTTTTTGAACGCATCGTCTAAAGCGGCCTTCAGAGGCGCCTCCTCGGCATACAAGGCAGCTCTCTCTTTTAGTTCATTCAAGATCACTTCCGAAGGATCGTTGCCTTCGCCAACCACCACCACATCCACATCTTCAATTGGAAATCGGCTTGGTCGCACCTTATAACTCTCTAGCATATTGCTGGCAGGGGGGTTGAAAAGATTCCCGGCGGCGTATGCCTTAGTTGCCACGTCCTCGGTGTAGTTGTGTGGATATTTAAAGCCGTATTCGGAGACATGCCGCCTGCCCCGGAGGCGGTGAGAAAGGGATTGCGGGAGCCCCATCCGCGTCGGCAGGCCTCGCTGAACGCGACCAAGATCCACCTCGATGAGGTCGGTGGGCTGAATATCCCGGGCCCCTTCGAGCGGCGATGAAACCACATCCGACGTGCGTGAGACCACACCCTTGCCGATCCGGTGATGGCGGCTACCGTAGAGATACAAAGAGGTGCGCAGGAGATCGGCCTCTTTCTCGGGTGCGATGACCAATGTCAGGTGTCCATCATCAGGGGAGCGCACGGACTCGGAGGGGACCGTCAGGAGGCCTTTGTCGTCTGCGTAAAACCCCCAACGCGCGCAGAGAAAGGCGACGGTATCGAGCAGCACATCGCAGCTCGGCTCCCCGCCGATCACTGCCTTCATCGGGATACTATAGGGCTCCAACGCAATGAAGCGATTGGTGTGTAAACCCATATCCTTCGGCCGGGGCCCGCCGAACTCCTCGACAATGCGCGGCGCCTCAAAGTCGTAGGCGGGGGCATGATAGACCAGTACGCCAGGCCGCCTCCAACCCCACTCATCGATCGGGGATTGCGAGAGCCGCTTGACCAGGGTGATTTCCTGACGAGAAACGTAATTAAACTTGCGCAGGGCCGCCAAGGCGGCGAAGTAGGCGTGGGTAGGGTTATCCGTGATGATACGATAGGGGGTGCAGCTCTCGAGGTCGCTGCCGAAGACGCCATCTACCAAGTAAAACCGCAGGCCGTTGCCGAGGTGGTACTGCACCTCGCGTAGGACGCGTTTTCCGTGCAGCGCAGTGATCTCCGTGTAGCCTTTGTTCGGAGGATTTTGGATTCGGCGATGCATTTCGTGCTCTTTGGTGTGCGGAAACACAAGCCGCTGGAGGAGGCTCGCGAGGTCGCCGTATTGGATGGCGATCGCGCCGCTTTCGGGATCGCGTCTCCCCCACGCCCGGCCGCGGAGCTCGTGTGGGCGCAGGTTGTACTCCCCGATCCCATAGGTATACCGCCATACCCCCGACCACATCCCCGCATTCGCGTAGTCGCCCACCTGGGACCAATTCGAAACCAACGTGCTGCTGTTCGCGTTCCACCACAGCCCAGGGTCCTCGTTTGTCTTTTTAAAAAGCGTCAGGGAGTCGTAGCCCCAGCGATGCATTTCCCGCAGATAGTTGGCCTCGTCCCCGGTGGAAGACGGCCGCGGCATCACCGCCATTCGGAAAACCGGCTTTCGGCGCTCCTCCTCGGCGTCGGGATTACAACAAATCTCGTTCAGGATCGAGATCTGTCCGGCGGTTTGCCCTGGGATGGGTTTGAGGGTTTCTTGGATGTTGGTGTAGCGCACCCCACGCCGCTGGGGCGTGAGAACCCCGGTGACCCCTGTTGGCGCGTGAAGAAAAGGTCGGGATAACAACAAGGGACGTAACATACGGGGGATCACCCAAGCCGGTGTTGCGTCGAATGGTCTTTCTTGAATAACCTACTAGTCTAGAAATATTAACTACAAATGCTAAGAAATACCTACTAAAAGGTGATGTAATATCTCTACAGACTCCTTTTTTTCCCCTCCTCTTTATCACTGAATCGTACCTTCTGTGAAAATAGAATCAGGACCGAGTACAGATAATCGAAAGTTTGGTAAAAGCACATATTACGCATGCATCTCCCAATCATCAGAAATCATTGCTCTTTCTTCAAAATTGCTGCAACTTACAAGGGGCGACACGCCTGATTCATATCTTTTCCTTTTAAAGGAAACAAAAGCAAACATGTTCTACTATAACTTTTACAGTGTATCTAAGTCCTAAAGGAACGATACATCCTTATATTATACAGCATATATTTTTTTATCATATGTACTCTACAAGTGTTTTCTAGCTGTTTAAAATTAAACAAGTTAGCCCTTAACAAAACCGAGCATCTGAGTATATCTCAGTGTCGAAAAGGTTATTTATCATCACGGTGAGTGTACTTTAAGGATTTGCAACATAATGGGAGATCTAATAGGAAATAAAAGAATTCTCAAATGCTTTGCCATCCTTATTCCTAACATATATATATATATATATATAT